GGCCTTGCGGAGCCGCGCCCCGGGGCCTCGAGCGCCCGCCCGCCGGCCTGGGGGACCCCGCCCTTGGCCCCTGTGCGAGGGTCAGGCCCGGTGGCCGACAGGAAGGTCACTTCTCTTTAGCCGCGGCGCAGACTTGCTGAGCGCACCCTGTGGGTCAGGCGCGCCCCCTGCGCCCCCGGTGCGGGTTCCTTCTCTACTCCTGCTAACGCTGCCTCTCGGAAGGGGGCGTCCTCTCCCCCCTTCCCTCCGCCGGGGGTCACATCCACCGGGCTTGCGCGGGTCATGATTTGGACCCGAGTTGCACACGGATGCGGGGTGTTTTTTCCCCCCAAAGTCCAAAACAGGTAGCAGTCCGACCAATGAAAAACAGGAAGGTGTGAGTGCCGTGATTTTACCGTTCTGACCAAGAAAGAACTGTTGCACATTTGATTTTTTTAAATACGTTTTTCTTGATTTCAGAGAGAGGGAGAGAGAGAAACATCTATGATGAGAGGCGTTGATTGGCAGCCTCCTACACGTCCCGCACCCCTCCCCACTGGTGACCTAGCTTGCGACCCTGACCAGAATCTAACCGTGACCTTCTGGGTCATGGGTCAGAGCTCAACCACTGAGCCACCCGCCAGGCTGATACACATTTAAAACCTGCAGCACGTGCCTCCACTCCAAGTGGGCGCTGAGACCATCACTTCCTTTCCTAGTATAGTTATTTTTGTATTTCTCCGACTTCCTCTTGGTCTGTATGTCTGAAGGCTAAAAACAGTGCCAGTCTTTCCATATTTTCTGTGCATAGAGCCATCCAAATGTGTATTTGAATTTAATTATGATTTCTTCTGGTCAGCTGCAAAAACTGCCTTTCTTCCTTAATTTCTAGCATTTTTATTTTTTTTTAATCCCCTGAGCTTCTACTGCCTTAGGTTTCAAGGTCTTCAGTAAGGTGAAGAAGACCTATTGAACACATGGCATTTGTTTTCCGTCAGCTGAGAAGCAAGGACTTTAGGATTAAATTCAGCAAAAAAGCAACAAGGAAATTATAAAATGTTTCCTAAAGAATTAGGTGAATTTTGCAAGCAGAGTTTGTGATTTCACCAGCAAAACACTGCTTAAAACCAAGATCCCAGCCCTATGACTCAGCAGCTGTATCAACAGTCAGTATCTCTTAAATCGTCTCTACAGAAATCAGACAGTTACAGCTCTTATTTTCAGAGAAATTTTAAGGTGTGGCCTGAAAAGGCTCCAAAATAAGCTTTCATTTTACATTTAAATGGTTAGAGAGAGATAGCTCTTATAACTTGCTCTCTGGCCAGAACCAGTGATTCCTAGCAGCAAATCAAATGTAGAACCTGGTCACAGACAGCTGCTGTTGCAAGATTCTTGGGGTCACAGCACAGCGTTCTGACACTTCGACCTCAAATTGTAGCTCAAATGTTAATGATTAATGAGTAGCGATGCACTCAAATCTTTTCCAAAATGCACAGGCTGCCAAATGCCCTCCTTGTCTCCACGGCTCCTGAGGCATTGTTAGCAGGCCATGGGGCTCACATTGGTCTGCAGTCCAGCACAGGGACGTTGGCCTGTTACAGGCATTTAGTTGGTACCTATCACTAACTAATGTGCTTGTTGAACAGTTTCATTGCAGTGGCATACCAAAGGCACTCACCCTGCTGGTGGGCAGGAAGGGGAAATGAGTGCCCGAGATTATTGTCAGAAGACCACACTGTGAAGTACTGCAGGTAGCGCCTGTGTGACAATTGCGGGTGGACACGGGGATTGAGGGAAGGTGTATCTGCAGCGGCCTGTGATCCACCTGTGGTTTGTGTATCCCTGGTTGAAAACTGCCTATTAGCTGAGAGCGGCAGGTCTCCAGCCGGATAGGAAACTTCAGGGTTGCATGAGTGGCCCAAGTGAGGTAAGAGATCACAGGAGTGAGGAAGGTCCTCAGGGGATCTAGGTGAGTGGTCCCTCCTCATAACAGACCATGAAGTATTGTGTGTTTATTGCTATTTCACACATACCAAAGACACATGAAGTGTATCTGATGTAAAGAATA